TGAACAGCAGATTCTTGCCTGAATGAAACATTTCAGTCGGTCTGAGACAGTCGTGTGGGAAAGGCTTCCCTGGTCCTTGTTAAGTGGCCATGAAGATATTCAACTGCAGTCCTTGAAGTCATGGAACCAAATGAGACATGAATTAAGAGTGATGCTCGGATATCTTTAAACTAAAGTGAGCATGACTAAAAAGAGAAATAGCAGTTAAAAGGGAGTGTCATGAAATACACCACCATCACAAAATAGCATGAATACCAGCATGTTAACTGTCCGTGAACCAGACCCCCTCTGTTTACACGTCTGATATAATCAGACTGTGGAAGTACAAGATTTCATCAGTCAAGGTCAAAAACATTTTCACTGACATTTGCAATAGCATGGTTCCCATAACAACTGTTCTGATTTCATCATTCTCCAAATGGTCCCTCCCAGAGTTCACTGATCCACCCGACTCCACTGCAGAGCATAACGAGAGCTTCATTTCATTAATCCCTCCATGAAAATGGTTTCATTCAAAGCTAAAGGAAATCATGACTCACACCTGATAAGCAAATTTATAATGCTCTGCACATTCAAACCTCCACACCGAAGTACATTAAATGAGTGCTGTTTTATATTCAGTGCATTCAGGAATTAACATTTCTTGTAATAGAAATGGTAGATTTGAACACCATTAAGAGAAGCCTAGAAACTGGAAAGTAACCAGAAGAAAAATTACATTGCTTCAAGAAAGAAAAAAAAGATTTATTAATGGCTCAGCGCCTACCTCAGCTGGTCACAAACCCAACATTTGTTCTTACCCACATCACACTGCTCTTCCTGGTGATGTATGACTGGAAACAGACTGCATCCTGAGCTACCAGCGGGAAGAGAAAAATGCAAGATGCATCAGTTACTTCCACCCCATCTTCTGAAGGATGGCTCAGTTGTATCAGCCAGAATCACACAACAGATCTCAAGGCCTCTTTGCCCCAACCCACCATCATCTGGCTTATTACATGCATCTTCATTAGCACATTTCAGTAGCACAGTGTGAACTGTGTTACAGGCTCAGCATTCAGAATGTTACTTAACTTAAAAGTACTCATTAAGAAGCAGAATGGCCCCATGCCAGTGCTATATTATTATAGGATTACTATTACTAACATATACGCAGATGTTTAATGTCATATCTGGTTTCATTGATTTTTGGGTAGTTTAATTTACTGTGTAACAATTGTAGTTTATAAGATTGTTATAGGTTTTTAAATTCTCAATCTGGAAAGCTGTCAAATAAATGTAGTTATATAAAAAGTACAATATCTTCCTGTAAAGTAAAGTAAGTAAAAACAACATAAAATTGAATGAAATATACAAGTACAGTTACCTCATAATAATATAAATTTATTACATAATAAATGAATAAATATACTTTGTTACACTGGTATTGTGTTGTACCCTCGCCAAATTAACCTGTGAGGAGGTTCGGAGCTGCTTATTAATCCCCCCTGATCTCACTGTGTGTGCATTGTAGTTTCTTTACACTGAAATAAAGAGATGCACGATTGGTGGCCGATATATTATTGGCAAATAATGAATGTTGTTCCAATGTCATTTTAGTGGATAATTGTCTAATTTCTGATAATACTTCTGTACTTGTACTGAATAGGATTTTAAATGCAGGACTTTTATTGTTTTTTTGTGTTTGTTTTTACATTGTTGTATTAGTACTTTTACTTAAGGACTGTAAAGGATCTTAAAACTAATTTCACCACTGGTAATCACTCCCTGGTACTGAAGAAACCAGAGATTGAGATTAGCAGAAAGAAAAATAAACAGAATATTTAGTTAGCCCTTTTTTGACCTCTTCATGCTTGAAAATGCCAGAGTGATATTGTCGGTTATTTTATCAGTATCAACCACAACAAAACTATTTGTTTATCATTATTTGCCCTGAAACTCCACATTGGTTTATTTGTACTAGATTACTACTTGGGTCTAGAAATGTTGTGTGGTGATTTGTCTAAACATGTCATCTAGGAATATGAAACATAAAAGCACGACATGAAACAACAGACCTCTTAAAATAAGACTTTGATACCCTTTTCCAGACTCAAGGTCAGTTAATAATAATGATCCACTTAAGCCCCATTTCATATCAGGGAATATTGTGCTTATTGGTGCATCTTCCCACGCAATGTCTAATTAAATTTGGTCAGCAGCTCTCCACTGTGCCTGGTTGATAATTTGGCCTTGTGTTGCTCGGAAGGACTTTTAAGTAGCTTTGTATTACTGATGTTCTACCGTTTCTTTGTATACACAACAAAAAAGTAATCAACTCAACTCATTCAACTCAACTGTTCAGGTATAATTGAATCATGAATGTGAGACAGGAACAGTTTCATCACTTTATTAATGAGTTTAATTATTTATACCAACAAACAAAAACTGTGTCTCTCCCTCCATCCCTCTCTTTTAATCATCTCCTTTATCCAACCGTTCTGTTCCCAACATTGACATTTTACCCTCAGAAAGGGTGCTAAAAGAGCGGGGTCATAGCAAATTAAAAGCGTGACGGATCAGAAGATGTAAAATAAAAACAAAACAAACATTAAAATAAGCACATTTAGTCAGCTCTTCATTTTGGAAAGAGTACAGAGAATAATGTCCATGGTCACATACAGACACACATACATTCCCTGCAGCTGTGCTCAAGAAACTCACCAAGAATCTATGAAGCATACACAGTGTACTAACAGGTCAAACCCGTTACACTCATACGACACACAGTAAGCGAAAACAGGAGACGGTCGGACACAGGAGATATTACATGTCAATGGACAGATTCATTATTTCCCCCTTTCCTCCAGACACACACTCACACACACAGGGTGATCCGTGTTATCTACCAACACCATGACCCCATAAATCCAGAAGCTTGTAACATTCCCTTCACATTGAAGTTAAATGGAAAACTGGAGTTCCACCTGTTGGCTAGCATGTGCACCTGCATACATACGAGACCACTGATTGGAGAACACACACCAAC